TTTTACAACAACGTGTCGTACTTTGTACACTTTGAGGATAAACCCAAAATCATTAAAGCCGTTTTTGAGAATACAAAAAAAAGGTAAAAAGTCTGAATAAAAAAAAGTTTGCCCGTAATTTTTAAACGGTGATATTTAGACAAATCATGCTAGAAATACTTTTCTAACGACATATAGCCAAAGTCAATGTCACGGGTGTAAGAAATTTAGGTATTTTTTTTTTCCAAAAGAGGTAGAACTAAAGTTTCCTGTATAAAACTGTTTAACATCGTCTATAATTTTCATGTTTTGCTGTGAGAATACAACTAGACTAATGAATTTGTGCATTTATTCCCAACGGCCCCAATAGATCAAGTTTTCTAAATTTTCACTTTTACACTTTGACCTTTCTTTCTCCCAAGCCCATTGATTTTATTTAAGTCTATGTATCCCTTTTTGTTTTTGAGATACCTTTCGATTGATGTATCACTTGTAACGATCGGACGATCACAGTAGATTTTCATTTCTTCCTGTATATATAGTAGTCGCCTGCGTACACTCCCTTGGGTGAGTTAGTAAGACGTCGATTTAGAGATAAGCTTAGATATTTCTTGGTTAAGTTTAGAAATGTCATAAAAAATTCGTAATTCTTGTAGTTTTGACGTTGACGAGAGGTCGGTCCTATTTTAATCGGCGACTTTTATCTTCTGACTCTAGTATTTTATGATCTAACAACGCTAAGTTGTTTAAAATAGATCCTTTCTTCGTCGAGAGAGATCTCATTCAGCCGTTTGCTATCTTCTTTATCAAATTGGTTGTCATCCACCAGATTTTCACCATTTGGTAGCTCACAAGCAGGTTAGGTCCTGCAAGATCCTTTACGCCTTTTTCCAAAATAGGATTGATTTCCGTATCACATGAGAAAACCTGTGACTATATAACTAAGCCTGTGCCTTGCGCAACAGGTTTATTAGGTTCTAGTCTAAGAAATTCACCGGTCATTAAGCAGGGATATAGACCAGTCCTTAAGTTTAGGTCAATAGGTCCAGGGGTCCGAAAGTCAGGATTTGCTAACGGCAGTCCCAAGGGAATATTAAGATCGTTTGCAATTGGTAATGACGGTTGAGCTGTAATAACATTTGGAATAATAAATACCTCTACTGGTGTTTTAAATTTAGATGTACATTACGAGAGCTTTAGTATTGACTTAGTTGCTGTTGTTCTTATTGCTCCGATTCCAAATATTTTAAGCGGTGGAGATGTTTTTTTAAGAGATAGCAGAACTGCCATCCTCCTTGAAATAAGATTTACCTTTGACCCGGAATCTACGAGGGTGGTCCGATAAGTACTTAACCTCCAAAAGAAAAACGAAAATTTTGAAAAAGTGGCGATTTATTTCTCAACATAATCTCCTTTTTGCTCGATACACTTGACCCAGCGATGTCCCAGCGACGATCTCCTCATTCGACGCAAATTTCTGTCCAGCGAGTGACTTTTTCAAGTTTGGAAACAAAAAGAAGGATGGGGTAGCACTTCGTAGCCCAATTCGACCAATTTGGCCTTGGCGAGGGCGGAGCACTTTTTTCTTCCCCAAATGGGGCCGTATTTTCTGCAATTCGGCGGCGAATTGGCCCAACAATTTGGTATTGTACAGCCCTGTGACCGTTTTGCCCTTCTCCAGGTAGTCGATGTAGATCACACCTTGTGAATCCCAAAAAACGGTGGCCATCACCTTTCCGGCCGATGGCCGGCCTTCTTCGGAGCAGGTTCACCGGGTGAATTCCACTGTTTCGACTGCTCCTTGGTTTCTGGTGAGTACCAGGGAATCCATGTTTCGCCGACGGTAACGAAACGACACAGAAACTGCTTCGGATCGCGCTTAAACAGTGTCAAACACTGCTCTGAAGTGGTCTCAGGGTTGCGTTTGTTGTCCGGAGTGAGCAAACGCGGCTACCCCCGGTATGATCTCGAACCCGCAACAGCTCACACCATAGCCAGACGTCTTAACCATTCGGCCACGCGTGCTTCATGTCATACAATGACTAAAGAGGGCTATGGTGTTTTTGGTCCAGCTTTACGCATACCAATAACGTTTATTCTAATCTAAATCTTTTTAACAACCGTTTAAACAATTTGGTAAATAGAAAAGTGCAACTAAGAAGAATAAAAACTAAATAAATTAAAAAAAAGAAAATTAAATAAACAAAGGGTACACTTGCCGTGGCGTGGGCTTGAACCAGGTACTTTTGTACGATTGTTTATTGACCGGACGTCTTAACCAGCTAGACCACCATCAAAATGTATAAAAAAAAGTCACTTTTCCCTTAAAATATGGGTATTTCTTTACTACATTTTATAAAGAATTTTCCATAATTTCAAGAAAAAAAATCAAGATAAATTCGCCATTAGTTAAATAAAAATAGCGATTCTTCCTCTTCTTCCTTACAAAAAAAATTAATTGATTGATTATTTTTTTGAGTGTAGTGGTTATTACGCCGGACACTGGTTTTGTTATGTAACATTGAATGATGCCGTTGCTGACAGACTCGAAAAGTAGCCAGTGATTCACAACATTCAACCTTGTGAGCTGTAGACAAGCATTTTGTGCATTCTCCTACTGAAAACGGCTACACGCTATAAAGTAATGGGTCCTAGGTGACAAGACTTGCAGCTTTCTTCGTGGTGGACTGATTGATTGCGTTGGAGCGTTATTGTAGGTTGTGCGCTTATCGTCTCCAGTTTGAAGGCGCGTTGGTGCATCCACTGAATTATCCAGTGTAGCTCCAAGAGTAGAGTCTGTTGGTCTAGTTTTCTTATGATAATAAAGCACAGGATTGAATCCCTGGAGTTTGTGCTGATATCGAGGTTTTTAAGGGTGCTTATTGTCCTTCGCACTGTATTATGTAGTGCTCGAAGCTGGGCAGCTGTTCTCCTATTGCATCAATGACTAATATTAGGCGTTTTGGTATATTTAGTATATCTGTATATTTAGCTAAAGGGACCAAAGGGAAATGGAGATATGCAAGCAGCAAAGCGAGACTGAAAAGCGCCACCTACCCCTGATCTCAATATATGGTTATGTCGGCGGTAGACAATTTAAGCGTTATGGGCGTTAGAGTGGGCGTGGCAAACTTTTTTTGGGTCAATCGATAGGTATTGACGAGACTAATACATTTAGTTAAAACTTTTTTCTAGCATGAAAATTGTAGGCGCCACAGGTTGGGGCAATTTGTGGGCGTTAGAGTGGGCGTGATAAATTTTTTTTGTTCAATTGGAAGGTATTGAAGAGAAGAATACATTTCAGTTAAAATTTTTGATCTAGCATAAAAATTGTGGGCGCCACAGGTTTGGGCGGTATGTGGGCGTTATAGTGGGCGTGGCATATTCGGGTAGCGAACTTGCGCTGCGCTCAAGGCTACGGAATCTAAATCTGAAATCCCAATTCTCTATCTTTGATATTTTCCGAGATATCCGCGTTCATATTTACGATTTCTTAAAGTTTGTGGGCGTTTTTTGTGCGTTAAAGTAGGCGTTGCAAACTTTTTGGGTCAATCGATAGGTATTGATGAGAACAATTCATTTCAGTTTACATTTTTATTTTAGCATCAAAACTGTAGGAGCTACAGTTTTACGCGGCTTGTGAGCGTTAGAGTGGGCGTGGCACTCTGCTAAAACAAACCTGCGCTGCGTAAGAAGCTCAGGAATCTGCATGCCATATTGCAGTAGCCTAGCTCTTCTAGTTTCCGAGATCTTAGCGTTCATCTGGACGGACAGACGGATTTAGCGAACTGGCTTCACCTATAATTTTAATTAATGGTCCGATTTGATAAAAGTAGATGGGTATTGACAGACGAAACAAAATCTAAAAATGTGCAGGTGCTACACAGAATTTAGAGTTACGGGCGTTTGTAGTCGTTAGAGTAAGCGTGGCACTCGGCTCAAACAAACTTGCGTTGCGTACGAATACCTAGAAACTGTATGTCTAATCCCGATTTTCTAGCTTACACATATTCCGAGATCTCAGGGTTCATACGGACAGACAGACGGACACTGACAAAGAATACATACACTTTATAGGAATATCGGTTCACTTATTTCTGTTGGTTCAAAAGATATGTTTTATAAAAAAAAAAATCCAAACTGCTGAATGTCCAAGTGAACGGAACTTGTTTAAAACATATGATATACCAAACATGATTAACAAACACATAAAACCAAAAAAGGATCGCGGCGGTGACCTTGGCACTCTAACAATGGTGGTTGAACTTCCAAACTGTGCAGTGGATGGTATGTATTTATATAAGCCACTAAGTTTGTTATCGTTTCTATCTACACTTTTTTAAATTAAGGCTCAATGTAATTTCGGTATATACAGTCGGGTCCTGAGAAATACATTGAACTGCCGACCAAGTCATATGAACATCATTGTTTACGCCAGAAGGGCGCTTCACTTCTGGAGGCAGTGTCGAGCGGCAGTTTACTCCAGATGTCTACATTTCGCGCGCTCGCACTGCCCTCTGCACTCTGCTCTCCCTCTCCATTTCTCCTCTAAGTCTCCACTCCGCTATGGGGTTAAGCTAAGATCCGAGTTTTTCGTGGCTTCGTTCTTGGGACTTCATCTATTTCAGCGACCAAGCCACCAAGCCCCACCAATCATAAATTCGTATAGTCTTCGAACATTGTCAGTAATGTTATTTGATATTCCTCGATGTCCAATGTATAATATTAAAATATGGCTTTCGTTCGTAAAATGAGCATCCCTTATAGAATACGAATTTGTGTTTCCGAACAATTTAACTTCATGTTAACAGTCTCTGACAGATAACAAATTAAAACCTTAACATAACATTAAGAAACCGGTCCTTCAAGAAAAATCGTTTAGAGTAAAATAAATAAAAACATAGGTACAAATGAGACAGCTTTCAAACATACACTTAAATACAATATTAATTGGACTGTAATAAAAAACCCAAAATTTTCCATTTATGTACAAAAGGCTTCTTACTAAGGGTAATACTTACTTTGCTGATGACATTATTTTGATTTAGTGTCAAGGTTGATACATCACGATCATTTTGTTGTTGGCACTTTGAGTCAAACTTATCACTTTGAAATTGACTTTGTTTAATTGTATTTTTGGCATTCAGTTGCTGAGCTAAGATTTGTTGCTGGTGGATTTGATTAGCCAGCTCGTTCTGTTTCTGTATAAGTTTCAGTTCTTGCTCTTTAAGCTGAGTTATTTTTTCCTGGGCCTTTATGTTTATATCAATGTCCGATATAATGTCCAGAATTTGATTATTAAAGTCGGTCTGGAATGTAAAAAGAAAATTAAAATGAAGTGGTATAAAACATCTATACTACGTTTATAAAAGGTCCGAAAATTGGCAAGTAGCTCAAAAAAGGATTAACATAAAAATCTAAAAAACAAGAAAGGAAGCTAATTTCGGCACGCCGAAGTTTCTATACCCTTGCCGGTTGTTCCCGTGGGAACATTGTATGTACAGAGCTAATGTTAAGATAATGTTCCATTTCAATTCACTACCGTGTTTGTTTTGAAACTTTTGAACGGTACATCGGATTTTAACAAATGAAACGCTTTCTTTCGACGCGTATTTCTAAATTTTCAGTTTTACACTCTGTGTAGCGTTTCAACGATCTTTATCGATTTTCTTAAGTATTGTATGCAATATTTTTAGTTGTTTGCCATACCATTCGATTGGTGTATTATTCGTAACGATCGGAAGAACACAGCAGATTTTCATTTTTATATATTGTAGTAGTAGTAGTATATAGTAGTCGCCTTCGCACACTCTCCTGTTGCGCTTCGTCACTACGAAAACTGCTGTTTACTTTAAAGTTTTCTAACTACCATCAAATAAGAATGCAAAAAATGTTGAAGTATTTTACCTACATACCTGATTAGACAATCTTAAGTGTTCCCTGTCTCTAATGTTGTCATTTAAGAGCTCAGATTGATCAGTGATTTCATTCGCCTCCCTTCCTTGCTGGGTCTAAAATAACAAATAATTAGCAATCATTGAGGCACTATTAACAGAATGTAAAACATACCTCTTGAAACAATTTTACATCTTTGTTTTCGACAGCATTTTTACCAAGTTCTTTTAATTCATTAACCTAAAAGGATTAATAAATTAAATAAAGTATAAACGATGTACCTACGCTTAATTTTAAAACAAGAGAGATATTCGAATTCCTCAAATATTATATACCCGATACTTAGTTAACCTTTAACTTATTAACTAATGGCCCGAATTAAATTATTCTTGGCACGCCGATTGAGATTGTCAAAATAGGGTCCGTTTTCTCGTCCGTACTCTAATTTGACAGACGGGACATCGGAGCGATATGTGCAAAATGGTTTACTCGACTTATGGTGTTATTCCGCGACATTGTTAATTTAATGAGCAAAATTGACAAAACTGATAGTCACTTCTGGTATTTTAAAACCAACGATAATTTAATACTAGGTCCAAATTGTACCTAAAAAGTACAATTTTGTTGCACTTATTAGAACTGCAGTAAAAATAGGCATAGGTAACTAATGTTATGATTTTTGCGTCCAATAACCACCTAGCCTATACAGCCTATTGCAAAATATTTATTATTATATGGCTATAACTTTTATATGACTAGTCCGATTTCAATAATTTTTGGCATGGAGATGGGTATTGATAATAAGAACAAAAAATCATTTAAACGAATATAACACATATCATCTTATTATTAACATTAACTAAAATTTGGGGAAGATGGTTGTTATCTAGCTTGTTTGAGTAAACGTGGCACCCTGGTGAAACAAACTAGTGATCCTGAGAAAGAATACATGTACTTTATGGGGTCGAAAACGCTTCCTTCTAAATCAAAAAAAATTTACATGCTTTGTAAAGTCCCAACATTTTTGAAGTTGAAAAATTGTACAAATGCCTGATTATACGACAAATTGTTTACTTCTTTAAAGTGCACTTTGGTAAGTTAAATATTAAAATAAGCTAGTTAATATTATTTAAGTTATAAAACTTAAAGTTCAAATGCTAAAGTGACCATGCCTTCTTATTAAAGCAAATCCATGTAAATTGTATATATGTTAGTATCTTTCTAAGTCTCTAATAAATGCTTTAATGAAAGATCCAAGCAATAACACCATTAAGATAACGCCTGTAGAGACAAATTTTCATCATCGGCTTAAATTCTTGCGGGCGTAGACCTTTTGCAATCGTTAGAATTATTTATGCACACATTTATTTGTGGTGTGCAAATTACGATTTATTTTTACTATTGCTATAATCAGGGCACACGCCTAACTTTGTCTACTAATACAAAAATGGGAGATGAAATCTTCATAAAATCAGTGAAGGCTAGCAGTCGAACAATGATAAAAATCCTTAGTAACCGCCAGATGGATATTAAGATATGTCACATAAATGCAAAATTTTTAACAAAGAAAATTAACGATTTTATAGATGTGTTCGGAGATTCAAAACGTCGATGTCGCAACGTAGTTTGTCCCGAAAATGTCTGATTCTGTGTGAATGTTATAAGTATACCTTATTTAAATCTGATCGTAATGGCCATGGAGGGTGGCAAAGCAGTTTATGGTTGACTAATTTATGTAAGGGTTTTATTTAAATCAAGAAATCAAATTATAAAAAAAATTAAAAAACTTAGTATTGCTGCGTTTTTGGTTTTTTCTAAAGTGACGGCTTTTTACTCGGCGTTACCATATCGTTATTTTGTTGGTGCTGCTATATTATCTTTAACTTTCATTGAAAATGCTTTTTCACCGACCAAATAGATCTGTTTCCTATTCTGGGAAAATTGATTTATGTCTAATCTGTTTACACGAATATAATCATAACAGGCGAACTAAAAAGATATATGCTGATTGAGCATCACATTTCGAATAACCTGACAGACTTAGGACTGCATCTAACTCCAGTCACGCAATTTATCTAGAAACAATGACACTCTTTTGAAGATTCTTTTTGTTAATAACAACATCAAAATTCTGCTATATGTTTGGTCATATTCAGCCCCTCACATTTGATGACCTCTTGTTTAAGAACTCACTCTTTAAAATCCTAAGCATGCACAAACTTTTAAGACAGACGAACATGACTAGATCGACTCGGCTAGTGATCCCGATTAAGAATGCAATTACCTTATACGGTCTGAAACGCTTCCTTCTGCCTTTTACTCCACGAGTAACGGGTATAAAAAGCCATTTAATTTGCATTATGGAAACAACACTGTCGTTTTCAAAACGTTGCGTGTTGAAAAGTACAACCAAAAAACCAGAGAGAACACTATAGTCTATGCCATCGACTATCAAATACCTATTACTCAGCTAAGGGCATTTAATACATCTTCGAGAGTCGAAAATCAATTTTATTAATACGCATATTGTATATTAATAAATTTTAAGGCCTATAGGTCTGCACCAAACTCACTGTCGAGCAGCAGATGTTGACTTAAGGTCAACAAAAGCCATTTAAAATTTTACCATATCTTAAAATCCGAACTGGTTCACATTTTTTTCTTAAGAGCAACTACATAGTAGAACAAGGAAGAACGCTACAGTCGAGTACCTCGACTACTCAGCTAATGCGACCAAAGGGAAATCAAGATATGCAAGCAGCAAAGCGAGACTGAAACGCGCCACCTACCCCTGATCTCAATATATGGTTATGTGGGCGGTAGACAGATTTAAGCGTTATGGGCTTTGGAGTGAACATTTTAGGCGCCACAGGTTTGGGCGGCTTGTGGGCGTTCGAGTGGGCGTGGCAAACTTTTTTTTGGGTCAATCGATAGGTATTGATGAGAACATTTCAGTTAACATTTTTATTCTAGCATTAAAACTGTAGGAGCCATAGTTTTGGGCGGTTTGTGGATTTTTTGGATCGATCGTTACATACTTTCCGACAAATCTAGTATACCCTTTTACTCTACGAGTAACAGGTATAAAAAGTCGTTTATGTATTTTTATAACCTTAAACTTACATTTTCAATAGGAGAAAAAACTTCGTTTTTAGTGTTTTCGGCAGTCAGTTCACATGTTGTAGGTTCCTTGGCACCCTGAGAATATAAAAATACATTTGTAAGCTTTCAAAATAAAACCGAACGAGGAATATTAGCTTGAGCAACCCGAATTTATATATAAACCTGCAGCGATAAAAAAATGGACAAGAAGAGAACCCCCAATCGGGGTTTAAAAAGTTTTGATTTTTACATTCACAGTTCGAAAACATATAAAAATATATCATTTTGTTTACAGCGTTTAAAATAAAATGAAAATATTTTCTTCTCCGATTTTTTCTTAAGAAACTTCTACAGGGGACTCAGAAAGTATGTACCTCTTACTGTTTTAGGTAACAGTACTCTTCAATTTTCCGATAATACTGTCAACAATTAAAGTGACCACCGGATAGACCGTTTTAGAACTTTTAAACTTAAAAGCAAAAAACAATATTTCTTAAATTACAAAATAATTAAGTCTGAAATGGTTTTTTTTGTTTTGTGGAAAAACTCTGGCACCTTAAATATTTTTACAAATGAGAAATTGGTTGGCGTAGAGAGGGATATGTTGACATACACACAAACAGTGGTATGAGTAAAATTGACTAATACGGATAGATACGTAACTATAGGAAAAGCGTTAAGAACTATACAAAATAGTAGTTGCTTTGAATAATAAGTTGTGTGCATGTTGTAGTGGTGAGAGTAATTATTTCATTGGTCAAACTGAGAATTCGATGGGCTGGGACTTTCAACTATTATATTGTTCAATTTGACCCAGTAGTTTCTTGTGTGTAGAGTCGAGTTTGACACTCGACACTGGTTAATATGGTTATTTTTATCTTGACAATGTAAAGTTCAATTTGTTCAAATCTTATTTTGTGAAAAGTTAGCAGTGACCCCAAATCAAGCCCATTTCGTTGCGAAAGGAATTTGGTTTTAGAGAACCAATCTTTGTAAACAAATGTTATCGCTGTATTAATGTTAAAGTTAAAAAAGCTTTGTTTTAGAAGCGTAAAGGCTTGTATTAATTTTAATTAGTTTTTAAAATTAAAATACTTTTTCCGTCAACGATTCTGTGCAATCTTTTAATGCCACTTCTTCAGTCCTTTTAACTTCATCGCCTTCAATTATAATTTTTGATGTCTCTTGTGGAACATTTGCCATTCTAGCATCAGATGTGCTTACAATAACAATATTCTCATCTATTACTTCCACATTTGGATTCTCCTCAGAAACGGTGGAGCGTTTATCGGCTTTTGTACTGTCTAAAACCGAAGTTTCTGGGTCTGATTTGATAGATGAGTCTTCTACAGTAGGATCCTCAGATTCAATTTCTGCGCTTCCATTTATTTCAGCAGTGCTATTCGCATCTGATGACAATGACGGCTTATCAATTTCAGCAACCTTGATTAAATCCTCAGTTTCTGCTACATCTGCAGTTCTTTCGCCATCTGAACTATGTTCATCAGATTCGCTTTCTTCAATTACTAAATCGGCATCGTCGTTATCATCTGTGGAAGTAATGCTCTGACCTACATTACTGCCAATATTTGATTCCAAAGGACTTTCGACTGAGTTGTCAATATTTTTGGTAGCCATTTCGATTACACCAGCGTCAACTTCTTGCGTTCCATTTTTTGTTTCAACTACTTTTTCCTTAAGATTGTAGAAAAATGTCGATGTCAAATTTATTTTTAATAAATAAAATTAAATAAAGAAAGGATAAAATGTTCGAGCGCTTCTATTCCCGTCCAGCAGCATAAAAGCAACGACCTAGAAAATATAGGCTAATCCCAACTCTTTAGCTAATAGTTTTCCAAATCACGGCCTTAACACAAACTGACGGACATGGCTACATCCACTTGGTTAGTGATTCTGATCAGGCAAGTAGGTATTATTGTTGGCCAACAGTGACGCTAGAGAATTTTTACAAGTTTTTTATCACCTTCCTCGCATACGGTTCTTTGTCAATATCGACTTTTTAAGCCAGTTTTGGGAGGTGTATACGTCCTTAAAAGGCTTTTTCTTTAGATATATAATGTACGGCTTGGTGCAACAGTTGCTAGGTCTTGCCAAGAAGGACATAAGCTAGAGGTTGGTCATTTCCTTAGAAAGGAATAGCAACCTCTATTTTTGAGACGAGATCCTTCTCAAAAAAATTTGACCCATTAAGCTTTGTAGTCGGATCTTTTTTTAAATCCGTAGGAATTACCGTGGTCTCCGTGGGCGTATTTAAAGTCATTTGCTTAGTATTGCGCGCTCGGAGAATGGTCAACACTTACTCCTATATCTTGAGAACTACTCATGATGGAAACAGTTTTTCTATGCGCTTTTTTAAAAAAATAAGATAAGAAAATCGATTCTTTCATTGCGCTGGACGGGAATCCCCTTTAAACGAATGCAATAAACATACCTACGGTTAAATTGAGCTTGGCAAACTTTTAAAATACACCTTTTATTAGTAAACTTCTAAACAACATTTGTATGTTTTATGTTTGTGTTTTTTTATAGGATAGAAAATATAAATATTCTAAAAAAAACTAATCTCAAAAAATCTATAATAATCGAAATCCGAAAATTATTGTAGATTTATTAATACTTACCACGATACTTGAAGCGGGATCCATTTCTCAAATCTTTTAAAATCTAAAAAATAATAAGTCAAATAAATAAATGAATCAATAAACTTTTATGTAAACATTGTATCGTATCAAGAAAAACAGCAACAGGTGCTTTGATGCCGCAACATCGATTTCACTTGTGAAAATAAATATATGTACTATATATAAACACAAAGTACCGCAAAAGTTTGGTTGTGCTGTTCTTACGTAATACAATAAATGCCGGAAACAAAGAGTATTTTATAATAAAATAATTTTACTATCTTTTATATTTTTCACATACTTAAAACATAACCACTTTACCTGCTAATTTTTAAGTAGTGTTCGGAGTAGAAAATGTTTACTGCATACAATACTGTACAATCGAATTATTGAAAGATAATAATAAAACTAAAATCCGTATAGACCAAAAGAATGAACAAGTATACATACGTCTATGTATTTCGAGAATATGAGTGCACATCAAAGATAGCTTCCACACTGTCCACATTTTGGCTATTTACTATATAACCGACTCTTTCACATACAACGTTTCGAAAAATTTAAATTTAAATCTCACACATACAAAAAAATGACAAACACAACAAATGTATTTGTATATTTATACCTTTACGAATACAATTTAGACTCTAATGACTAGAGCATCTCTGCAAAATGTCAAATGATGTATACAGATTTTATTAGGGAAGTTTTAAATTATATTCACTGCTTCTAAAGTTATTAGGTTCTATATGTGTAATATATTTTATCTATTTTTTTACACCTATCATTTTAGTTAGAAGTTTCCATCGCAGTTTTAAAGCGATATTTATATTTTTCAAACGAGAACACCTCTTAACGAGGTAAGGAGTCGATATATAAAAGTTCTGATATACAATTTTGTAACGAAAAATGATTGTACATCGGACTAAATAAATACACTTTCTAAAATTTATCCCCAACAGCTTCAATTTTCAAAATATTCACTTTTACACTTTCATCGCTCTTTCTCCCAAACCAATTAAGATTTCTAAGATCTTGGTATACCATCTTCTTTGTTTTTGCGATACCTTTCGATTGGTGCATCATTCGTTCCTAACAGATCATCACAGCAGATTTTCAATTCTGCGGCTATATATATATGTTAGTCGCCTTCACACACTCTCCTGGTGCGCCGCGTCACTACGTGGACTGCCGCCCAGATCAGATCAGATCAAACGACCATGTATATCCTATAGCTCTTATAAGAGTCAAATGTTTACAATATATATAGCTTTGTTGTTATCATTATACCTATTTTTCAGCTGAGTATAGTAATTTTAAAGATTTTAAAATTATGCATTATACATTATATACATGCATTATACATATTATACATTACGTATCTATCCTAGCAACCATCGTAAAAATAATAATAAAATCCATAAATTTAGTTTTTCTGATTGCACCCGCATCTAAGTCAAAATATAATATTTTTATAACAGTTACTCATAGAGTAAAAGGTTAGTTTTGATTTGTTGAATGGTATGTAGTAGGTAGAGTAAAGCGTTTCCGACCCTATAACTTAAACAAACATAAACAAGAAAGGAAGTTAACTTCGGAAAGCCGAAGTTTGTAAACGCTTGCAGTTATAATTATTAAATTTAAAAATACAAAAAATTATATTCCAAATAGTATAAGATACTATGTCAAAAAACACCGAAGCTTTAATTTGTTTCATATTATATTCCCACCAATTTTCCGATCGTTCCAATGGCAGCTATATTATATAGTCGTCCGATTTAGATAAAATTAAATTCGAAATTCAAAGCTAATTAAAAAACGTTATTTCCAAGCTTAGGAGGTTATATGTTAAAAAACACCACAGATATAATTTAATTTTTTTCCGATTACTCCTATGGGAGCTATAAGATATAGTTGTCCGATCCGGCTGGTTCCGACTTATATACTACCTGCAAAAGAAAGATGACTTTTGGGAAAGCTTTAGCCCGATAGTTTTTGAGAGACTAGTTTGCGTAGAAAGGGACGGACAGACGGACAGACGAACATGGCTAGATCGACTCGTCTAGTGATGCTGATCAAGAATATATACACTTTATGGGGTCAGAAACGTCTCCTTCACTGCGTTGCAAACTTCTGACTGAAATCAATATACCCTCTGCAAGGGTATACAAATTAAGGTTGTCAGCGCACAGCCCTAACCGTATTTTTAGCCAATACTTTATGGGAGTCCTAGGGTGCGCTATAAAATCCGATATTTCTCCCCAATTGCCCCAAACAGAACCGAGCATAAAAAACTTTTTAATGTCCCATAAAATGCTTAGTGTATAAAAAGAGCATATCATAAACCAAAAAGAATTTAAACAAGAAAAGTAGTTAGCTTCGTCAAGCCGAAACTTGTATACCCATGCAGTTATAATTATTAAATTTAAAAATACAAGAAATGATATTCCCAATAGTATAAGATAATATGTCAGAAAACACAGAAGCTATAATTTGTTTCATATAATTTTCCCACCAATTTTCCGATCGTTCCTATGGCAGCTACGTGGTTTTGTGAAGTTTATGGTCAGGGTAGGGTAGGTCTTGTGTGCTTCCCTATTGTTGGCGACACGGTTATGACTCACTTTTGGAAAGGAGACAATCTGTCACATAACAACACCGGTTGAATATTAATTGCTTATAATGAGGAAAAAAACACGTGATTAGTAGTGTCACATGGGGGTGTGGGGGAAGTTTGCGACCTTTCTCAGGTACACAACAACACCTGTTGACTATTAATTGCTCATAATGAGGGAAAAGGAAACATAATCAATATTGTCATATGGGAATGTGGGGCGTGAGGACAATTAAGTAAAGAGTATCTTTATGAAAAAAAAGAGTAAAACGGTATACTAGGTTCGTCGAAAAGTATGTAACAGACAGAAGGAATCGATTCCGACCCCATAAATTATATATATTCTTGATCAGGATCACTAACCGAGTCGATTTAGCCATGTCTGTTTGTCCGTATGACCGCTGAGATATAAGAGCTAGGCTATTGGGATTTGGCATGCAGATTCCTGAGCTTTTTGCGCAGCGCAAGTTTGTTTCAGCAGGGTGCCACGCCCACTCGAACGGCCACAAACCGCATAAAACTGTGGCTCCTACAGTTTTAATACTCGAATAAACATTTTAGCTGAAATGTATTGTTCTCATCAATACCTATCGATTGACCCAAAAAAAGTTTGCCACGCCCACTTAAACGCCCACAAACCGCCCACAAACTTCAAGAAATCTTAAATATGAACGTGGATATCTCGGAAACTATCAAAGAAAGAGAATTGGGATCTCAGATTTATGTTCCGTAGCCTTGTAAGCAGCACAAGTTTGTTACGCGAACATGCCACGCCCACTCTAACGCCCACAAACCGCCCAAGCCTGTGGCGCCCACAATTTTTATTCTAGAGAAAAAGTTTTCACTGAAATTTATTGATCTCGTCAATATCATCGATTGATCCAAAAAAAATTTGCCACGCCCACTCTAACGCCCATAACGCTTAAATCTGTATACCGCCGGTAGATGGCGCATTTAATCTCGCTTTGCTGCTTGAATATCTCCATTTAGCTGAGTAACGGGTATCTGATAGTCGAGGTACTCGACTATAGCGTTCTTCCTTGTTTTTTATTAAATTTCTTCAATTGATTTGTTTTCCGTTTGTCAACAAACCCAGCTGCTTGACAGTAAGACGATGCTACTGCATTGCGGCTAAGCATTAACAACTTTGGTCACACTACAAAGAATACGATTTTTCTTAATCCTAATTTTCCTAAATCTGTCCCCCGTCCTCTCGTCTTTGTGAGAAAGGGTATTACGAATATCAAAGAACTTATGAATTTCATCAAGCCTGCCACAACCAACATAAGACTAAAAATAACTGGGCCTGCTACAGTTACGGTTTTCTCCTTCCGATGGTAATACAAACAAGGTAGTTCAACATCTCATTTTTAGTTATAATATCCCGTTTAACTCTTGGCAATTGAAAAGTGATTGATCTTTCAGGATCGTAGTCAAAGTCCTACAGTCTACGGATCCTGAAGATATCAACGCTGATTTGGACGCCGCTGGTCATGTAGATCGCAGTGTTTACAACCCCCCTGGTAAAAACAATGAGGACCGACCCAATATGTTCGTTGTTGAGCTAAGCCGCCAAATAATCTTCAAGTAAACGGCATTAAGTCGTTGGCATATTAGTCGATTACAAAAGTCCCTCTCGAACGTCGAGATGAAGTTGTTAGGTGTTATAATTGCCAGGGTATTGAACATGCAAAAAAAAACTGTTTCTTGCCTCTCAAATGCGCAAAATGTAGTGGTGATCATGAATCTCGAAACCCAGTTTGACCCGATAGGTCTCAAGATCAAATTTAGTGCATTAATTGATGTCCCAACCTCATCGCAGGCTACCGCAAATGTCCAGCTTTTCTAGAAGAAATTGCTCGTCGCAAATCTGGAACAACCAAAAACCAACCATCAATTAAATTTGTAGCTGCTTCTCTTCCTGCGCAGTGTTTGGGGATCAGCTATACCCACCCCGTCTTCTGGTTCTAGCACTTCCAATTAAGTCCTGAGGCTCTTCCGTCTAGTGCTGGCTTTGAACTACTTATCTTTCGCATTGACCAGATGATGTCAATGATGATGAAAATGATGAATCGGTTTAACGGCCGTTCGATTTCTAATGCGTATAAGATCAGGAGACATGTCTATTTTTGGCATTCGTTTCTCATTTTGGAACGCCAATGGTCTCTCTGGCAAAAGTTTCGAGTTAGAGCAGTGTGTTACCTCTAATTCAATTGATGCATGCTAATAAACGAAACGCATATCCACAGCCGTTCACATCTCCGAATTTTTGGATATGATTTATTGACGGCGAGTCATCCCGCTGACCGTCTTCGATGAGCTTCTCCTATTTTAGTCTGCTCGCAATTGCATTACCTACCTTACAGTACAAACTCAATTGTAATATGTCAAGCTGCTGCCATTATCTTAATTACGGATTTGGGAGACATCGTAATTGCTTATATTTACTGTCCCATCATTTTCTTGGACTGCTCAAAATTTTGGAAAGCTTTTTAGCGATTTTCCAAAACTGGTGACTGGAATGCTTACAATAAATTTTGGCATTCTAGCCGCTCTTTACCAAAAGGTGTTTAGCTTTTAGATCACGTCTTTAAGATCGCAAGTCCTAGCTACAGGAGGACCAACGCACTTTCCTTCTAATGCAAGGAAGAATCCCACGGCAAATGATTTTGCTATTTATAAGGGTAATTCTTCCAACTTACTGACTATACTTGAATCACATGATCTTAGTTCTGATCACATTCCGCTTGAAATACTTTTATGCGCTGCTGCTTCACCACAACTTACAAAGCAAGTCTGCTGTCTCGTTCGGCTAACATTGGACGCTTTAAGGATCATCTTAGAATCCTTAATGAGAATGATGAATCGGCTGAGCAGCCGCTAATAACCTGACTCTGAAGATTCAGTCTGCAGCTGCCGCACC